TTGCTTCCACATTGATTTTTCTCACACTGTTCCCTGTATCAGCTATCTGAAGCTAAATTTCTCCCTTTCTCCTTCCCTTCTCTCTGCATCTCTTTGCTTTCAGCACGCCTCTGTGACTGTACAGCTCCACCCCACCTCACCCTGTGCACACTCTCTTTCTCTCGCTTCTCCCTTGCATCCCTCTGGATCTTTGAGATGAGTAGCTCTCTTGGCAGAGTCACAGAAGTCAAATAATTTATTTGGGCTTTAAACTCAGAGATCAATTGCCTGATGTCTACCTTGGTACTATGTTGATTTTATTCATCTTTGGCATCCCTGCCTGCTGCTTTCTACCCTGCATGCCTGAAGTGGTTGCCTTAACATGGATATATTTTATAAAGCACTGTGCAGCCATATTCTCTGCAATGGCCTGCTTATTTTCTTGGAGGGAATTAGCAGGCTTGAGGGGTAGGAAGAAAGGGGGTCAGGAGGTTGGCTTTCCATGTCTCAGGCTTCAGGCAGCCATCTCACACTATCCCCTCAGCCACAAGTATTTCTGACCTCCATGTGTGTGCGTGTGTGGGGGTTGTGACACTGCCCTTCAGCTTATAGTTCATCTTGTAGCTTTTATTAATTCACTGGAACCCCCAAGAACTGTGTTGGGGTTTTGTAGTAGTCCGATGAATGTGCGGCTGAGCTGCTTGTTGTTTTATTCGCCTAATCTACCCACAATTACAGAAAAGCCATGTTAAAAAATTGTGTGTAATAAATATTGAGCATGTAGGACCTGTGGGTACGTGCCAGCTTGAGATAGCTAATATTAAAAATGTATAGAAGCATATGCTTACAGATAAAAAGCATTTGCATATGACTCCACATCTATTTTGTTGGAGTTTTAAAAAGGTTGTGGTTTTTAAAATGCATTTGGATGTATTTTTCTACCTGAAGAAAAATGTTCGCTTTTTAAGTGATAAACAGCAATGGAAATGTCCACAGGACAATGGAAAAGCCCCAAAGGAAGTAAAGATCTGCAGTTTGCTGGGAACTACCTGTTGTGAGCTACTTTCCTTTGTTCTGTGGACATGATATTTTTGCTTGTTACCTGGAGCTGCAGAGCCCCAGATCTTGGGCTTTGTGCATTCTGGTCCAGAGTCCCAAGGTCAGGAAGAGGATCTTGTCCAGCTGTCCTCCTGTCACTGCCAGCACTCTGCTGAAGGCAGGCTAAAATGCAAATACCCTCACTCTTAACATTTAGCTGTGCCACACTCTGCTCACCTGTGGAGTCCTCTGACTTTCTTCTGGTGTCAGGAAAACTGTGGAACACTGATTCATTTTTTTTTTCAGTCTGAGACTCAGTTCTCCCAGCCCCCAGGGTAGCCATGGGACCTCACTGCACAGAGCATGAGAAAGGAAAGCTGCCTGTGTTCACTCACAGAGAGGCACACCCAAGGCTGGAACACAGTAAATTGTTCAAAATGCTGACTTTGCAAAGGAGAGGGAAATTATTTTACCAATTAAATATTCACAATGCACTTGTATATGACAGCATAGGTTTATAAATACATGAATGTCTCGCTGTCTGGTAGGAGGCTCTGTGGAGGGAGCCATTCTCTTCCTTGTGAATGTGATGATCTGACATCTGCATGTACACAGAGATCAGCACGTTTGCAACATTGTCTGCAGAAAAAAATTGCTTTAAAAGTAAAAATCAATTCCTTTAAAGTTAAAAGTAATGAAGTACAACAACATATTTTGTTTTAATCTGTCTTTAAAACCAAAACACCCAGGTCATTAACAGTGCTGTAGGTTTACTTTGTAAAGCTGTAAATGTTTTACCCAGAATACTTGCACTCTCAGGACAACTGAGGCAGATGTGATTGACCTGGCATAGTAAAAAGTCTTCTCTCTTCGTGGTGTATGTGTAGCTTTTAAATATTCTTCCTTAGCATGTGAGACTGCCTTTCTGAATTAATTCCTTTTGTGTCTCACACAGCTGCCTAACTCCTTGCAGGCACCCACACTCCCAGCCCTCCCCCAGACATCTGTTCTGATTCTCAGTGCCAGGTGCCAGAGTTTAAGCTTGTTGGGAGGAGGGACAGTGACAAAATCCTTCATAAAATCATATAGCTGTGGCTTTTTAAACAATATTTGTGGTGGAATTTAATTTCTAATCTCTGGGTTTTTGAAAAGAACCCAAAAGGTGTTAGCCTTTACTACTGGTTTTTTTCAGGTTTTATCTGGAAAAGGTCAGGCTTGGGTGGAGATTGGTTTCTTGTTGGGGTAAAGATTTTCTTCCATTTTTCTTTTCCAAAGTGATGCTGCAGCATTCCAGTAGTAAGAGGCCATGGCATCTGTAAACCTATTTCTAGTCTGGAATTATTTTTCCCACATGGGAGTACATCTCATTAGAAACAACTGTACCTTCATCACTGAATTTTGATCCACAGAGGTCTTACATACCTTGCTTCTACTTGAAACACAGCTGTTCTTGAAATCTTCCAAGCCTGCCCTAAAGCTGCCATCAGTTTCTAGAGGTCTCAAAGGGCCGGTGTTGCTCTCGTACAGTGCAGAATGACAAGGTCTAGGCTGCTGTTTATGTACCAAAGTGCTCCTGTTTGGCACTTAGGGTTTGCTTGGGTTATCTTTGGCAGATCAGAAAATGCTGGTCTGTCAGAGCCAGGACATTTGCCTCAGCAAGGAGCAGGTCCAGAGCAGCATGAGACCATTCCCTGTCTCAGCCTGGGAACAACCGCAGTCATCTCCTCTGCTCCACACTCTGAACTTCTCAGAACGGGCTGTCATGGTCATCCAGTTGCAGGTTTTCCCCTGAGTCCTGGTCTAATCTTAAACAAGTAGAGCACAGCTGGTACCCTTCTCTGCCATTCCCTGAGATCTGCCTTGGAACGTTTTCCTGTCGCCTTCTTGCACTCATGGTGCATCAGAGACATGGCCAGGCTGCTTCTGTTTTCTGCCTTTTCACCCAGGCACCTGGCTTCTTGTTTCCCTTTCCCCAGTGTGATAGGGAATATATAGTGTAAGGGATAAGCCTAGAAATGTGAAATAAATGGATTTATATCAGCAGCTGTGATCTGGGTGGTGGAGGACATGGTACTAAATACTCTTAGTCCGTGCTGGGTTAGGGGAAATCAGGAAGGTGGAATGAGGAGTTTAAGCTGCTCTTTCTCACTCTTTCTTTTCATCTCTCCTTAGGCATGTCTGCCACTTACTCTTGCAGTCACTGAAGGCACAGGAGCTCTCTGTGGCCCTACTATTCCTGTAGAGGCTTGAGAGAAAACTCTTCCAGTGTGTTTCCCAGGGGCAAAAACATAAGGAGTGGCTTGGTCACTCACAGGCCCTGGCTGAAATGAGAAGTTTCAGCTTCAGAGAAGTGACTTGATGTGACAGTCTTCAGATAACACACAAAGGGCAAAATGTGTAACAAGGGGAAATATCAGTGAGCAAATTTAAGCCATGTAGAGTGGAGAACGTTTTTCCACACTAATATTAAATGTGTGAGACCACCACTTTTGGAGACCAGATATATGGATTCAAGAAGGCGCTAAACAAATTCATGAAACTGTCAACCAATGGGTATGGGAAATGCAGGTCTGGAGGCAAACTCCCAGGGTGCCAAGAATTGCTGATTGCTGGCAGCTCAGCAAGTCCATCAGCAATCTCTCCACGCTTTTCTTGGGCTCTTCCTTTAAGAACTGCTGTTGATGTCTCTCACACATAACATGTTCAGCCAATGTGGGCTTCACTTTGGTCTAGTAAAGTGCTTAGTGCCTCTTAGGACAGAGCTTAATCAAATGGTGAAACAGCCTCCAGAGTTGTTGGTGATACTTCCTCCAGAGTTTTTAGGAGAATGATCCCATAGGCCCTTCCAGTTGTCTAATCCCATGCCTGAGCAATCTTGGTAAGGGCAGAGCAGCCTGCCGCTCCAAAACACATAATAGGAGTGCTCATTAGCCAGTGCCCTATTTATATATAGTGCAAGGTAAATATCTGGGAAGCCCGAAAATGCAAAGCTAATAGGGTTGTTACGGGGATGGGTAACAAAAAAGGGATGGTTACTGAGAGGCATAATGTCTAAGGGTTTTATGCTCTCTAAGATAAGCCTGAGAAGGACAAAACTAAATAAGGAGTCACTAAGCCTGTTCTACTACAGAATTTGTCTGCCCTTTGTAATATTCCTTCCTGCTCACATTTTTGTATGTGCTGATAAATGTCCTTGCATTAATAAACTCATAATGCAGCTTGTTTATCCCTTCAAAGCCAGCCCTTGCAGCTTTCATTAGCATTTTAGGATATTTATGGCTTTGTAAATGACTGGAAATCTGCAATTTGTCATTAGGAATTAAGAAAAATCTTCCTTCCACTTAGGGCTGAGGCTCAGCTTTGGCCTTTGAGGGACTGAGCCACCTCTGGGCGTCATAGACAAAAACAAAGTCAGACAGTGCCCAGATTTACAACAGCAAGTGGCTCTTCGTTATTCAGATGTCTTTGATAATGTGTCATCCGCTGTTGCTGGCAGGGATCAGTGTTTAGGCTCAGAATTAATTTCTCTCTAGCTGGAGAGAAAACAAAAATATCTCTTCTACAAGAGCAAAAAGAGAAAGATGTAGTAACAAGGAGAGAAATAAAAACAGCAGCAGGCATGTGTAAAAAAATGCATGTATAGATATATGTATGTAGCATATACACACTGCAGAGATTAACAAAGTGCTCTTCAGAAGAAAATGTTGTACTTCACTCTGCTGTGCTCTGTACTTTCAACTTTGAAATACAGGAAGTTAAGAAAATTTTAAAGTTTTCAAAAGGGAGTTTATCTCGTAATTGGTGAAGGGCTAAAGAGTTGGATGGGGAGGGATAATAATCAAAGGAACCTTTTCAGCACTAAGCTGTAGTCCAGAAAATCAAAGGAAGGAATATTAATTGGTTTGTACAACATGATATTCTCAGTTCAGCTTCAGCCACTCAATGGTACTTTTTCTTTTTTTTTTCTTTCTCTCTCCCTTTAGGTTGATTAAGTGAATAGAAGAAAAAAATAAAAAAAACGAAGCTACTTTCAAGTGTGGAAGATACAAGGCCAGGATGAACACGAAGGACGGAAAAGTGTCCGAAGGAGGTCTCAATGTCACTCTTACCATACGCCTTCTCATGCATGGCAAGGTGAAGCATTTCCTGTTGCCTGTGTGTTGAGTGTGTGTGCAGCTACCAGCAGAGCCTGGCACTAGCATTGACAGAGGGTCTGCTCCTCCTCCACCTTTAGTCAAAAGCACCATTGCCATGGCCAGAAAATCACCCCCTGCCTTTCAGGGAGTCCTGCTGAAGTTCATGCTGCAGCCCAAGCTCATTGAAACAAGCCCTGCCCGTAACAAACCCATTTTGAGCGGATCCGGCGGCAAAAAAAAAAGGAGTTCTTCCATTGATAGTGAGCCAAATTGGGCAGACCCTTGCAGGAGGCTGACCTGCATACAGCTCGCCTTTCTCAGCGTTTGCTGGGTTTTGCAGAGCTTTTTTAGGATACCAGAACATTGTCTCGTGTGAAATAATTGCCACGGAGCTGGTGTCTATTTCTGTTGAATGCAAATGGGGTCCAGTTCTTCATTATTCTGCTGTAACATCTCATCAGAGTGAGCCTCCTCATATGCTGGGGATTCACCCGGGTCCCTGCGGGTTTGGGTCGGAAGATTGACTCTCATTTCCTTTCTGTCCAGTGCCGCACTTAAAGCATGCAGATAAGTGGGAAATCTGTGCCACAGACAAAGTGCCAGTTCAGTATTGTCAGATTTAACAGTCTGGCTGCTGCTTGTTTCACATCAACAGATCATAAAGTGGGCTTTTAATTAAAAAGCACATTTCATAGGTTTGTTTGTATTATTTGCATCAGGCAACTCCAGGCATTTTTAGGCTTAATGAATGAATGTTATAGAAAGGAGGTGGTTAAGTCTCATCCTTAACAGGGAACAGTGAATATATAATGCATATTATTCTGGAGATCAAATTTGTATATATAAATCTAAAAAAATATTTTTACTCCTAGAGTTTAATTTCACCACTAAAATACTTATACATTTTAACAGAGTGGATGTTTTCAAACTATGGTATGAAGACACATTTGATAAACCCATAGCACAAATAGGACACTAAGGTGTCTCCCATTCTGTTTTACTTATGGAGAAGTGTGAGGGGGTAAGTTTAAGTTTGCAAATTAAAACCCTCAGAAATTAGGTTATGTCAGATCAAATTATCTTTTTTCTCAGAAATGATCTAACCATTTTGAATTTTTTTCCCCCTGAAATATTCAGCTTCAGGCAGGCATCTGGTGTGTAAATCTGCATCTTAAATAGGGATCTGTCAAACAAATTTAATAACACTCTCTCTTACAAAACCCACCTAAAATCTGTACACGTGTCTGTGCTCAAAATTAGGTCTTCAGGGTTGATTCTACTGGTTTCTGGTCCCATTCCATGAAAGCATTTGAGCACATACTTATCCCAGTGGGTATAAGCAGCCCTACTGGTTGCAGTCACATTCCCATGTGCTTAAGTGATGGTGTTTTGGGCTTTTTTAATCATTGTCAGACAGCTCTGCTTGTTTCAGAATCATGCCTTTAAAGCAAAAATGAAGTGTCTGTCATTTTCAGGACATTTTATTTAAACTGTGGGCTCGGATTATTGAAGTTTTTTAAATCAGAAATGAAATCAGATAAAGTTCATTTTCTCTGTTAAACATCATTGATTTTGTGTGCAACTACTTTTAACAATAATGGATGTTATGTGTCCAGCCTTCAATGCATATGTAGCCCCAAGGGTCTAAATTAAACCCACAAAAGCTACAAAGTTCAAATTTTACCTGGATCTATACCATGCATCCTCAGTTAACAAGGCACGATGGGTATTCTGTTAGCTCCACTATGCTCTAATCATGTATCCTATTGTGCCTAAGTATTGGAAAGGGTACATTAAATCAGAATTTATTTTGGTGATAAAAGTCAGACGCTTTCCGTTTCTTTGATGTCATTTCTGTGATTTAGAAATAATACAGAGGAATGAAAGATGTCTGAATCAATATGAACTCAATGTGAGAAAGCATTCTGAAAGCTGTATGTGCCTCTGGAAAAGAAGAAACACATTTCTAGGCTCTTCCTTCAGATTTGTTGTGGTAATGACATCAGTGGAAATTGTTGATCTGTAATTACTATTCCTAGACAAAAGAGTTTGTCTAGAAGCAGAAGTTGGTTTGTAAATAACTGGTCATAACTTGAGAGAGAAGAGGAAGAATAAAAAGGTTTTTAAAATAGCAGGAGCAAACTGGATTCGGTTATTTTTAAAGTAAAATAATTTTAATGTTATTTATTAATGCATTGCATGGAAAAATGAGGACCTCTCCCTACGAACTTTAACTCTCTGTGTCTAAACCATTATTATCAGTGTACCTTTGCATAGGGAAGGCCAATGTGCTTTGAGTTGTTTGCATGCATTTTGATTGGAAATCCATAAATTGTGCTACTGTGCTTGCTTATCTTGTCTGTAAGTCCTGCAGACTTAGGAAATTTTCAGCATGTACTTTTAATGTGATTTGTATAGAGGCTTTAAGTCAAGAATGGACACCTTAATGAGGCTATTAAGGTAAATTCTATATCTGCAGAAAAATGAGGATTTGTATGAGTGGCCAGACCTCTTCAAGATGGTAATGAATAAAAAAAACACCACAACAAACCAATTATGTTGCATAAACAAAAGACATTATCATGTGGTGAAAGGAAAAGAAATAGGAAGAGTCCTGAGCCTGGGAGAACCAGGGCCAGTGTCTCCCCAGTGCAGGTAGGACACCACTGATCAGCACCTTTGCTTTATCTTGCTTTGGGGAAAGGAGTGTCTGTCATCCAGCTGAGCTCCTGCCTCTGGCTGAGGAGGCTGGGACAGCCCCTGGGAGCACAGCCACTCAGCCACAGCATGGCAAGGTCTGGGAGCAGCCAGCTGGCAGCAAGGCAAGGCACAGCCTTGATATTCTCATGGCAGAAAACGTGGTGTTAAGAGAGGGCAGCAATTTTTTTACCAGTGATAGTGGAAAAAGAATTTGTGCAGGCCCTGCAAAAAGCCAACCACTGCGAGGTATGAAAGGTTCACCTCAGGGTAACCTCAGTGTTTCCAGGGCCTGGTATGAAAGGTGTCCTCCTGAGCTGGCACTTTCAGAGATTTTGTGATGATGTAAAATGAAAGGCCTCATTTTCATCTTTTGCCATGTTACATCAGTGAAAAAGCTACAATGGTGCTACAGCCCCGAAGAGAAATCATGAGCAACACAAAACATTTGTCACATTTTCTTGTGACAAATTAGAGGGCAGGTGTTGGTGAGGATGCTGCAAGGGCAGTGCTTAGGCATTCCTTGCATCCACAGAGAAGCAACTGTCAGTTTCTGTGGGAAATCTCAAAAGCAAGATTAGGAAAAACTCATTACGAGGATGTGTGAGGAGGGATGGAGGCTGCCTGGGCGTGCTGCACCATCCATCACTGAAGGTTTCTAAGGACAAGTCAGACAAAACTGAATTCATCCTGTAAAGCTGCGCTTCACAGGCACTGCAGCCTCTGCTGCTCAGCACCTTTCTGACCAAGTTACCTGAATGCTGATCCAGAGGGGGCAGAAACAGAAGAGCTTTTGAAGGACATGAAGTTAGAAATATAGAATATGTTAAATAATGCAGATACACATTTTCATCCTTTATTAATGAGAAAGATGCACCACATTAAGAAATAAAGCTGTTTCATACATTTCAGTAGAGAAAAACAGGGAATATGAGTTGAGGCTGTTTACAGTGCCCTACTTTTGTATTTTCCATCTGATTCTTGCTGTTTCTTGAAGTAAAATAAGTCAAATCACTGTGTAGGAAAGAGACATGAATGGATGTGGGTATTTTATTATTTTGTCTACTTCAAAACTGTAATTTCTGGACAAGATTGAGGTACTGTAAGGATTGCAAGATTTCTGCTTCCAGCAAAGGCAAGAATAGCAATATTTGCCCAGACCACATCACTGGTTTTGAAGGGCATAAGGAAGACAAATGAAGTGTATGTGCATTCGTGGGCAAACAGCCCCCAGCCATCAGAGCCCTCTGTATGGAGAAGCAAAGCTCAAGCCCCAAAAGAACTGTATCTCTTACTTTTTTTTCCTTTCTAAATTTTTGTCAAGATAAAAATTATTTTGGCTCTTTGTGTGTCATAGTGTATAGGTGTAGACCTCCATGTTTCTTACCATTTCTTGCTCACCTTTTCCTGAATTTTCTATTCCCATGACTTGTGGCTGATTTTTCCTTGCTTACTGCCTCAGGTAATGAGGTTGAAAGACTGAAAATTGTAGCCTTGCCCACAGGTATCTGCCAACATATTAACGTATGACACTTGACATCTGCAGTGATCTTGAACTAGGTTTGGTCAGTTCATGCTCAGGAAGAAATAACTTCATAAAGTGCCTATTTTAACTATATTGGATAATGATTACATGATTTTGGACTAGTTTGGTTCTGTATACAGCCAGTGTTAAGAGGCTGATTAAGACTCTGGAGACTCAGCATTAAAGTTTAATTTTAGATGTGGATAGTGAAGAGACTGTGGCAGTAGAAAGGTCTTAAATCTCAGGAAAGCAGCTTAATGGAGATTTACAAGCCAGGTCCATGAGATGGAACAGGAGAGAATGTTTAAATGGGCCAGCCTAGAAAGGGCAGCAGGTCACAAATCCACTATGAGATCCACCTCCATCGCATAGTGGCGGTGCAAGAATCTCTGCTTCCTGCTTCCTCCCTCCAGTACAAACCTGCAGGAGAAATAATGCACTGTTTCCAAAGGTGCTGTGTGAACGTGTGCATTGATGAAATCATATTGGGTGCAGTGAAGTCTGCAAGAAGCCAAAGTAGAATATAGTAATGTATTGAGCCTGAGGAATCTTTTAGAGAAAGAGAATGGAGTTTCAGCAATAAAAACCAAAATGGATTAATGAAGTCAGATGGTTAGGAAGAACAAGGAAATAATTTACAGGTGGGATGAAGGAGTGAAGGGAAAACTGGCAGGAAAGTAGGACTCTTGCCAAATACTGAGAGGTGTAAATTGGAGAGGTGAGGCAATTAACTGGAGAAGGTAATTTAGAAGATACATGTTCAGTGACAGAGGGAA